CACTGCTGTCCACGGTGGGCCGTCCTGGTGATGCCAGGCCTGGCCCTGCCCTTGTGAGGACTCTGGTTCAGGAACCGTCAAGGGTGTGGCTGGGTGGCGGCCTGTACCGTGGGGACAGGGACTGGTGTGGGAGGAGCCGAGGGCCTCTGCCCAGGCAGGGGGCAAAGGCCCCAAGGTGGGGAGGTCACAGCAGGGCCAGGGCAGAGCAGAGAGAGTAGGGGCGGCCACCGAATGATTTTCCTGTTTCCAAAACGAAGGAGCCATGAAGTCCACTGAGGGTGACTCAGGGGAGGCCGCCCACGTCCCTGTCCTAGACCCCAGGCGTCCCCGCTCCACAGGACTGTGCTGGCACTGGGGCATCACGGCCCTGTGATGTGAGGGAAAAGGATCCAGCCAGGGAAACTGAGGCTGGAGTCGTGGGGAGGCGGCTGAAGGCGGCCCAGCACCCAGCACGGTCTGCCCCAAGCCGCCTGCATCGTGGGGGTCCTGGGTGTAGGCCAGGAGACCACAGGGCAGGCACAGGCCGCTCACCTGGGGCGGCCTCGTGAGGGGACGCTGCCCTGAGAGACCCGGGCCAGCCCTCGCAGCAGGGGACGGATGGGCCGAGGCCGTGCTGGCCTGGCTGCCCCCCCCCACCCGGCATCTGGCGTCTGCAGAGCCGGGCCAGGCCTGGAGGAGCCTCGGAGGCCCCATCCGGGCCGGCGGCCAGAGCCTGCCTCTCCCCCTGGTAACAGGCACCACCCTCCCTCCTGGCCCGCACACAGCACCCACGTGTCCCCAGCCTGACCCTGCAAGCCTTCCTGGGCTGCGTGACCCCCGCGGGACCTCAGGTTCTCTTCTGGAAACAGCAGGATGGGGTCCTTTGCACCTGGCCCTGCCTGGAGCCCGGGAATTCACGCACAGAGCTGCAGGCCTGGCCCCCAGCTGTGCCCCCGCGGGGAGCTGCTCTGTGAAGTGAGGGGTGCCTGACCCTGGGGGACCTTCCTCCCTATTTTACACACAGGTCACCCTGGGCCAGGTTGGTCTGCTGCCCCCCTTCCCTGGTGCTTCCTCAGTTTTTTTGTTTGTTTATGGCATCGTCTGTGCAGCTGGGCCTCCCCCAGCCTGAGGCGTCACCTGGCCCTTCACTGAGAAGCACAGGCCCTGGCTTGTCCCCGCTCTGTGCCAGGGCGTCCCGCCGAGGGCCAGAGTCCCAAATGGTAGTGGGACAGGCGAGGCTGCACACAGAGGGCCCTGCGAGGGGGACATGGGCCACGAGGAGGCCAGGCCAGGGGTGCACGGGATGCAGAGAGGGGCAGGCCCTGTCGCAGCTGTTGGGCTCAGCTGGACTTCCTTCCCTGCCAGTCTTGATTGCAGGGAGAAGGGAGAGGCCATGGCAAGCGGGGTGCGGCTCAGGTAGAGCTGCCTGGCATGTGCAGGGACTGGGGGGTCCCCAGCTCCACAAAAGATGGGGCACAGGCCACACCTGCCTGTTTTTCCTTTGAGGTGACCGTGGCCCAGAGAGGGTGGGCACCATGTCCAGGGTTGCACAGCAGACAGTGGAGCTCACAGCCTGTTCTGTGGGTTTCATCGTAAGGAGACACCACAAGCAGTGGCCCTGAGTCGTGGGAATTTATTCCCTCATGTTTCCAGAGGCCAAGTTCAAAGTCAGCCTGCTCCTTCCTGGCTTTGAAGGCAATATGGGATTTCCCTTGAGTCTGGAATGGTGACTTCCACCTGTGTCCTCTTCTTACAACCCCGCAGGCATGACTGGGCCCACCTGACATCCGTACCTTACCTGCACCCGCAAAGACCCCGTTTCCAATAGGGCTGGAGCTTGCATGGCTTTGGGGGGAGCGGCCAGGGGCCAGGGGCCAGCCCTCTTCACCTGGTGTGTGCATCCCTGAGGTCTTACCCGGGGAGCCGGTCCTCGTGCACAGAGCCCTCGGGGGAGAGGGGCCGGGGGTCCCCCCAGCACGGGGGTCCTGAGCTGGGGCCCCACCGACGGACCGTCCCCTCCTGCCAGGCCTCACGCTCCCCGACCTGCCCGAGCAGTTCTCCCCGCCCGACGTGGCGCCCCCCATCCTGGTGAGGCTGGTGGAAGCCATGGAGCAGACAGGTGAGCAGCCGGCGTGGCCGTGGCAATGGCCCGGTGGCCGGGCTCCCTTTGCACAGAGGGGACTGGGCGGGAAGCGGTGCACCTGCGGGCACGGCACCTGCTCCCTTGTCCCCAGGGCTGGACGGCGACGCTCTCTGCAGGCCCGAGTTGCCGGCCGCCAGGACAGGTGAGGGGAGCCCTGGGGGGCCTGGGGGGTGCCGGGGAGGCGCACGGTCGGACTGTCCCCTGCACCTGCAGACTGGGCCCTGGGGGACGTGGACCAGTGGGACACCGCCGCCCTGTCCGACGGCATCAAGGCCTTCCTGCGGGCCCTGCCTGCAGCCCTGCTGACCCCCGAGGCCGCGGCCGAGGCGCACCGGGCCCTGCGGGGTGAGCGCGGCGGGGAGCGCGGCCCGCAGGTGAGGGAGGAGGTCGGCTGCTGCAGCCCAGCCGGGGCTCATGCCTTGGCCGTCTGTCCGCAGAGGCCGCGGGGCCCGTGGGGCCGGTGCTGGAGCCCCCGACGCTGCCGCTGCACCGCGCGCTCACGCTGCGCTTCCTGCTCCAGCACCTGGCGCGCGTGGCC